TTAATTTAATATATATTTATAATTTTTTAGAATCACTTTTTTACTTCTCTTCAAAGAACAACGCTAATCAAATTTAAGAAGACCACACTTATAAATCTCAATAGCAAAAAAGAAAAAAAAAAAAAGAAGAAATAGTAGCATAACAACCAAAAAACACAAATCTCATTGGAATATATTTGTTTTGATCATTGCTTTCAAAGAATCAATTAATTGTATGCATCTAAGTAAGTAAAGGAGAAGAACAAGTAGAATTTTTACTTTGAATGGAAAGAAAACTAAAAAGCATAAATAAGTAAATAACTTATCTTAAAGTCTTTAGAGAAAAAAGTTGGTGACAAAAAAAGCACTTGCCAGACTCGAAGGAGAAAGAAAAAAAGGGCTGAGTGGATGCGAGAATAATTCAGTGAGATTAAGATCTAAATCTAAGATAATATTAAAAACTAAAGATAAAAGGTGGAGTCGAAACTTGAGGGTTGAAAACTGTATAGACTATGGAGGTTGAACAATATGAGAAGAGTTTCAACTTTGAAGAATTAGAGTCTTAGAGAGTATTAGGGCAAGCAAGAATATGAAAGGTCGAGAGGTGAATCATGAGTGGAGTGAGATTATTTTTATTTCTATAACATGATGAGTTAAGAGAATCAATTAGCTAATTAGGGAAAATTTGTCAATTATTAGAGGTTTAAGTGGGATTGGGAATTAGAAAACAAAATAAATAAATAATAAATTAAAAATTTTAAATTTTTAGACAGGTAAACGGGTCAAACTCGTTAACTTGGTGGGTCAACCCATTATTGACCCGTGATTCGTCGGGTTCTCTTAACGGTCATAAACGAGTCACCGGTCATAAATATATAACCCTAATCCATTTTAAATGGACGGGTTAACGGGGTGGATAAAAAATTACAGGTATAAATGCAATTGCCCGCCTTTCAAGTTTCAACCTCATGCGAGCAAAGCTTGACCAGGGATCAACTTTCTGCAAAAGCAGAACAAATGATTCAAAAAGAATAACTATGGGCCCATAGAAAACAGAAACGGCTAGTGTGACCGTATGAAGAGCGATATAAAGTTTGAGCAATGAAAATGTACAATTATTACCAGCGTCTGACTCCGTGGGCCGGTGAGGGCCTTGAGCCCAGTAACCATGTGAAATGTTCCCTTGAAATTTCTAGACATCAAAGATATGACTTTAACATCTATTCGTGACATAAAAAGATGATTCAACTCTTAATTTC